CAGGGTGGGCTCGATGGTCCTAGAGGGCTTTTCCAACCTTAATGATTCCACGTGCAGGAATAACCATTTCCCACTGTAATTCTGTGTTTGTTCCCTAGCCTGTCTCCTTGGTCAGCAGGGACCAGGTGTGAGCTCCCCTGGCACCTGCCCTGGCTCCCAGCATGTTCCTGAGGAGTGCTGTCCACTCCCTGGGGCTGCTCCGTGCTGGGATCTGTGCTGGGATCCAGCAGCTCCCGCGGGGCCGATCCGGGTGGTGCCAATACAGAGCTGTGATCTTCGAGGAGAGCTCAGTGCTGCTCCCAGCCCCTCACGGGACAGCCACAGGTGGGTACTCCACTCCTCATCTCACAGAGCCATGGGGTGAGCTGCAAGGGACTCAGAGGGATCATCAGTCCACCCCCTGTCCCTGCATGGACACCCCAACAGTGCACCCTGGGAACATTGGCCAAACACTGCTGGAGCTCTGTCAGGCTGTCTGTGGTTCTGGTGAGACACCCAAGAACTCGTGACGATGATGATGGTACCTGTTGTGCTGTCAGAAGTCAGAGGTGACAGTGACCACCCTGACCCCACCTGGGAACAAAACTGTGCTGCAGTACCACCAGCTGATGCCACCCAAGGTTGGTGCAGCCCTTCAGCATACTTTAGGAGCTCTCCAAAGGTAGCACATGGAAAACAGGGAGCAGTTCCTGGAATGCCCAAACTCTCCTCTGTTGGGTCAATCACCCAGCCCAGCACATCCACTCTGCTGAGCTGGTTGATGTATCGAGCTCAGAGGGATTCCAGGCTGATTTCCCAGTTCTGATGATGCCACACATGCTCTTTCCTGACTTTCTTGTCTCCATGTAGACTGGGAGGCCCAGGGCTGTATTCCAGCTGGCACCATCCAGCAAGTTCTGCTGTCTGGAGGGGAGAACAGTCCCTCTCTGAGGTACTCCCGAGGAGAGCTGACAGCTGTGGAGTTCCTGCAGGAACTGGGACAGCAGTGCTTTGAGACTGTAAGCCAACTCCTCCTTCCTCTCCTTGTGCTTCCTGACTGCATGGAAATGGGATCAGTGAGGAAACAAGAGCTCTAAAAAGAAATCCTTTGGTGGGAGGGTCTGGATTTTCCATGTAGATAGCACTGCTGTCTGAGCAGGGCAGATTTTTCACCGCACCATCACCTGGTACCTGGGCATGGCAGTCAGACAGATTTGCCTTAATTTCCACCAGCTTCTTCCTGCATATTTTTTAACTTTCTTATTTCAAGACACCTCTTGGATCAGCTGAGATGAGAAATCAGAGTTAGAAACCAGCTGGGAGGTTTTTGCTGTTAGTTTGTACATGGACACGCTCAAGGGATGGAGATTGCAGTGTCTGGGAGGGTTCTCAGATGAGTAGAAGCCCCTTCACCCCAGCCCCAGGGACACAGAGCAAGAATCCTCCTTGGAATCACATCCTTTTGAAACAGCTCAGTCTAAAATGCAGATTCCTTTCCTGCCTGCTGAGCAGTCAGTCAGTATTTCTCTCTCACCTGCCTTGATCCCACAGCAGGCACAGTCCCAGGGCACTTCTCACTCCCCAAACAAGCCCTTTATCTCTGCTGCTGCCTCTGTGGAGCTAGTCATGTGAGAACAGTTGTTTATGTGGTCAAAGCAGTTGAGCTGGGAGATTCTCTGCCTGCCTTCTGCTGCCAGAGGAAGTAGGACAGCAAGATAAGATGATCAGGCAAACTCCCTTCCCAGCCACTCTCACTCTCCTCCATTTATGGCTAATTATCGTTCCTGGGGTTCTCTGGTTTCTTAGGCAAATGTCCCCGTTCCAGTGGACTCTTTTCTCTGGGACCTAATCAGAAGTGAGATGAAGAAACAGCTCCCCATGATGGCAGAAGCAGCTCAGTGTATCCGAGCAGAAGGGCTGAAGACAGCTCTGCTAAGCAGCAACCTGTGCCTGGGGGATGCAGAGAGGTTCCTGCCCCTGGACCAACAGCTCTTCGATGTGGTAAGCCTGGATGGGTTCTAAACGTGCCTCTGTGCCTCAGTCTGTAGAAAGAAGCCACTGAAATTCATTATAGGCAGGTCCTAAAGGAGCTGCAACAGCAGCACGTGTTGGCAGCCATCAGTGGAAGACATTTCCTGGCATAATTCACTGTAAGGAATGGGCCTTGGGCAGGGTCTGAGTGGCATTTACAGTTCACTGCAAGGTGCCCACACAACCACAGGTCCCCAACAGGCACAGGCAGTGATGGTGATAAAGGACTTGGGAGTGGAACAGCATACAAGAAATAAATGTTATTACCAGTGCCCCAACCACTATGCCAACATGCCAATCTGTCTGAGCTGAGGAGCAGGCAGAGACCCCTCTCCCAGCACAGATCCCTCTCCCAGCACAGACCCCTCTCCCAGTACAGACCCCTCTTCCGGCACAGATCTCTCTCCCAACACTTCACCTTTGCACAGATGAAGCAGAAGATGAGCCATGAACCTCAAGTCTGGTTCCAGTGGCTTCACTTCCACAGGCAGCTACAAGGGCTTGGCTCAGCATAACAGAATTTGCTTTTTTTTTTGCCAACTCACATCTTTAAATTTCAGGAGTTTAAAGTTCGTTTTATGACCTCAATTAAGACAACAAAACATGCAAAGAAGAGTCATATCAATCTATTTAAAACCTGTGACTCTTTAAAATCATCTTACCAACATCATGCCATTATCACCTCAGCTTTGTGTGTTACTGGTGACACTGGTGCCTGTGAAGTCTCGCAGTGGAGTGATGTTCTGGAGTGATGCCCTGTGATCCTCTTCATCACAGGCTGTTCCAGAGCACCTCACTGACCACAGCCTCCTGGTGCCATCACTCACGTGGTGTGTGGTGCTTCTGTAACAGCACTGCAATTAGTGGGGCTAAAATTAATTGGCTGTGGATTTCCATTAGTGTTGGCTTTTATATCCATCCCATAGGTTCGTTTCTATTCCTGGAGTGTTATCAGAGCAGGGGGAAATGCTGCTTGGATTGTTCGTGGTTGTGAGGGCAGTGGGAGCAATCAGAGACTGACTCAACCCTTGTTTGATCCAGATTTGGGTGGGTGACTCTGGCAAATGCCTCAGCTGCTGTGAAGGTTGCTCTGGGGTGGTTGGTGGGTGCAGTGGTCAGGGCACTGCTTTTCCAGAGCATTTGGAAGGTGCTGCCATCCAAGGCTTCCTTGGGCAGCACTGAGCAATTGGTCTGGGACACCCAGGGAGTGTCCCCCATCAGGACATCTCCCTGGATATCTTCCACCCAAGGACTGGCTGATCCTGTTTGGCTGATTGGGGCTGAAGAGCCACAGCCGAGGCAATTGGCACCTACACAGTCACCTGAATCACGTCCTGCCCAGCTCCATCAGCCCTCGCTCCGTGCCCTTCATTCCTCACGTTAATTAGCCCTTCAGCCTCTTTCCAGCCTCCCCTCCAGCACTGCACAGATGTCTGTGGTCACAGCAGGCTCATGCATAATCCATTTGTTGCTGTAGATGGTTGAACCTTGCCGGGAAGGGATGTGCAGGCCAATAATTCCTGGGATCTACAAGCTGTGCTTGGAGCGCTTGGGTGTCCAACCCCAGGAATCCATTGTCCTCGAGAGCAGCAGCCAGAACCTGCAGGCAGCAGCCCAGCTTGGCATGAAGACAGTGAAGGTACAAAGCAACACAGCCAGGACAGGCTCTGAGGGATGGATTTTGAGTCCAGGAGCTGTTTGACTCGAGTGGCTCAGGATTTGCCGACGGCAGTGGCTGTCTCGTGTTGCCAGGTCTCTTGCTTCGGCCTGGCCTCGTGCCTGCAGCATGTGGCAGGGTTGATGGAGGGATACAAGAAGGATGGAGAGGGACAAGAGCGTGTAGTGACAGGACAAAGGGGAATGGCTTCACACTGAAGGGGAGTAGCTTTAGATGAGGTATTGGGAAAGAATTCCTCCCTGTGAGGGGGTGAGACACTGGCACAGGTGCCTGTGCCACCACCACAGGGACATCTCCAGGACACAGACCGAGGCTCTGTGCTGGCAGTTGTGAATTCTTGTGTGCCCATGGATCAGGGAATGACCCATGAATTCCTGTCAGCAGATCAGTGCCACTGGCCTCACAGAGAAATGCATCACAACTGTGCAGAGCTCTTCCTTTCCCAGGAAATTTTGTCTTCTGGCTGTCACCCAGTGCTCCTGTCTCCCTCTCCTTCCAGGTTGATGATGCAGAAGCAGCACTCAAGGAGCTGGAAACCCACCTGGGATTTCCTTTGAGAGGGTTTGTTCCATACACTCGGTCAGTGAGACCAGGCATGGAAATCCCAAAAGATCATCTGCAGAAGTACCTTGAAGATGTTCTTGGTGACCATCCAACAGGTATCACAGTTGGAAAGCCTGGATATTCTGGAGCCTTTGGCTTTTCCATCATATGAGAGATGGATTGAAATATGATATTAATGAAAGGCTCCTATCTCCAAGGAAATGGTACATTCAGGTTTCAGTGATCCACCACTGTTTCCCAGGAATGGGAAACAACATTTTAGAGCTTCCTTATTTGGGAGGGGTTGAGCACGAGTTGCCAAAGAGATGCCAGGAATATTCATGGCCTGTGAGCCATCTATGAGCTACTGCCACGCTCCCCAGAGGTTTGGGACAGATAAGTCAGACCCAGGAGCAGGAAGGGGATGTGAAGCCTGGAGAATTGCTGACCCTCTGCTCCCAACTCCCAGAGCCACTGGAGTTACGGCAGTTTGGCCATGGAGAGTCTACCAGGAGCTACTTGGTCAGGTTTGGAGGTCGCTTGCTGGTGCTGAAGAAGGAGGAGGAGGTGCCTGACAGCCTGTGCCCCTCGGGCGCTGCCGTCGCTCGGGAATACAGGTGGGAGATGTGCCCACTGGGACAGGTCCTGCTTCAGTGTGCTGTGCCAGAGGTGCTGCCTCAGCCCCAGAGCAGCAGGGCACTTGGGGGGGATCTTTGGGATCTCCCCTTGTTTTCCAGAGTGTCCCACAGCTCCTGGGACTGGGGGCCATGTGAAGCTTGGGGTGTGTTTTCACTCCCCCCCATGTCACAGGACTGTGACACTGTGCCTCCAGCAGCATGTCTGGTGTTTGTTCCCTCGTGCCTGTGTGTGCTGACACAGCTCTCTGACTCACCTGCAGGATCCTGAAGGCTCTGGCTGAGGCTGGTGTTCCTGTTCCCACTGCCCTTGCTCTCTGTGAGGACAGAAGGTAATCCTGTCCCTCAGCTTTTGCTCTGGGCTCGACAACTGCAGATTCCCCCAAAGATGAGGAGATGAGAGGAACCAGAACTCACAGAGTGCACTGGTCTCATTAGTGTGTGCCCAGTCTGGGGCTGGAGAAGCCTCTGGAAGTTCAAAGGACAGAAACACTTTTATTTGGCTTGGTTTAGGTGTGTCCTTTTTTAGCATTAATAAAACCCTCTCTGTGAAAAGCAGCTATAAACAATGCTGAGGGCTCCCAGCTGAGTCAGTGTGCTCAGCTTTGCTGTGAGGAGGAGATTTTCCTGTCTGCCAGACCTCAGCCGGCCGTGGCAGCAGCAGATCTGTGAGCAGGACAGCTCCACACCCTGCAGGGAGGCAGGGCAGCAGCTCCTACTCTAGATTGGCTCCAGGCTTAGCTTCCTGGGGCTGGAAGCACCAGGGCTGAGCATGCCACAGCCGTGTGCCACCACCCAGCAGGCTGAGCTGGGCTTGAGTGAGTGCTCCAGTGCTGTTGAGGCTCCTCTTCACCTTCCCATGCAAGCGAAGGCCTGGGGGGCATATGCAAGGTGTAGGTGAGATTTGAGGGGTGGTGGCAAGATTGACCTCAGCCCCACTGGTCCCACCTTGCTTCCTCAGGCTCCTTGGCACACCTTTCTGCCTGCTGGAGCACTGTGCTGGCCGTGTCCACCGCGATGCCTCCCTGCCCACGCTGCCCCCGAGCCAGCGCTGGGCCTGCTACGCTGCCATGAGCCACGTCCTCGCCCAGATCCACAGCGTAGACCTGGGGGCAGCCAAGCTGGGCGACCTCGTGGAGCATGGTGAGACAGGGTTATGGATCTCCATCACTGTTTTCTTCCCCTGGGTGTCAGCACTTCGAGGGATGGGCAGGTGGGGAGGGGAAGGTGGGCAGCACAGTGTCTGGATCCCCAGGTGGGATGGGAGGGTGTGGAGAGCTGTTTATATCCTCCAGGTTGGTGTTTGCTGTGAGTAGTTCCCAGAGTTTCCTGCCATGAGCAGGAGCTGTGGGTGCAGGAGTGGCCTGTTTGCTGCCATCTCTGACCAAACCTCAGCTCCTCCAGTCCCTCTGCAGAGCCAGCTCAGCTTCCTGGAGCTGGTGAAGTTGCACTTTTTATCCAGGATTGGGTTATTTCCACCAAAATACCAAATCCAGTGCCCAGTTAGGGATGTAAAAGACCCATGGAAAGTACGATTAAACTCCTGGAGCTTAACTCAGGGTTTTGGACTGAGACCTACTTAGCTGTTTGACGTTTTCTGCATCCCTTTTGAGGCCACTTGGTGCCAGTCCCTTTCCCTGGGAGCCTTCATTCCTCTGTTCCAGGTAATTACATTCAGCAGCAAGTTGAGTCCTGGACAAAGCAGTATCGAGCTGTGGAAACTCGGGTTATCCCAGCGATGGAGAGACTCATCCAGTGGCTGCCTCTGCATTTCCCTGAATCCCAGGAGACAACAGTGTTGCATGGGGATTTCAGGTACTGCCCTGGAGCACATCCCAGGCAGGAGGGAGGGACAGGAAGCAAAGCAATGCACAAACCCCAAAGAGGTGCTGACTGGGCTGGGGCAGCAGCTTCTGAGCAGTCCAAAAACTGAGCTCTGGGCCAGGTTCAGCATCCCCCAGGGGATAAGAGTTTCTGCACCCAAACACTGGTCTCACACTAGAGGGTCATCAGCTCTCTCTGCAGTACTCAGAAGTCAGCCCTGGTGCTTCTTGCTAGTGATATTTGGTGCTGAAAGAGTTTGGGGGGGCAAAACCTGCCAGTGTTGAGGCAAAGTCGTGCAGGTGGTGGCTGGGGACAGAGGTGAGGGATGCTGAGAGCTCCTTCTGTGGTCAGCCTGACTGCCAGGGCTGTGGGGCTGCACTGTAGACACGTGCTGGGTCTGCACCAAGGCTTCTCACAAGGTTCCAGTGTGGCTGGGAACGGGTGAGCTCTCTGCACCCTGGCAGTGCAGGGCCTGCAGTAGCTGAGTGCCTTTGGAATGACCAGAAGATCCTCTGGAGGATGACTCGCCTGCTTCAGTTTTTGGCTAGCCTGCCCTGTAACATCTGCTGATGATTTGGGGCTCTGACTGTTGTGGTTTCACTCTCCAAAGCACAGTTCAGTTCATCATTAACCAGGGAGTTCACTATTGAGTAACCTCCAAAAATTAATGTTTCACTTGTGCAGCCTCCCAAAGGACTTCGCCATTTTTGAAGAGAGTCAAGAGCAGTGGAAAGCACCTACTGCTGCTGAGCACTGGGGCTTTTTTAGCCCCCTCTGGAGACTTTTCTGATCTCTTTTTCCCTCTGATACAGGATGGACCACCTGGTCTTTCATCCAGACAGACCACAAGTTCTTGCTGTCCTTGGCTGGAAGTTTGCAACTCTAGGAGATCCCATGTCTGATTTGGCGAATAACTGTATGGCCTACTTCCTGCCACCTCACTTTAATGCTCTGAGAGGTACAGACAGGGGCAAAGTCACCTTTGGCAGAGAGGAACCAGAGTCCAGAACAGATTAGCTCCTGCCCAAGGGGCTCAGCTAACAGCTGGGCTCAGAGGCACGGAGTGTACAGAGCTGGAAGGGACCCTCGAGGCTCCTCTAGTCAGTGCTCAGTGCAGCTGGAAAGGGCTGTGGGTTTGCATTGTTTTCCCTCTCACTTCAGCTCTGAAGCTGAGCAACTCTTTTGGGTGGGAAAGCTGTGAACCAGATCAGGAATGATTTGTCCACGATTACACACTTGTTCAAAAGAAAAGCACAGGGTTAAACCAAGAGGAAAAGGATTCCATCATTCAGGAGGAAGATGTGTCAGTCACAGCTTTCCCAGTCTCACCCCAACCCAGAGCACTGCCCTGTGTGTTTCACCTGCACAGGCTGGTGCCAAACTGAGTGCCCTGTGTGGCCCCAGCACAGTGCAGGATGGGTGCAGGTGTCTGCTCTGCTCCCTGGCTCTGCACAAGCCTCACAGCATCCTTAGGGAGCTCCAAGCTGTTCCCTGGCTCACTGCTGCCTCTTTACATCTCCCAGGCTTGAGGAATTGTGATCTGGGGCCGCTGGGAGTTCCCACAGCAGAGGAGTATTCCCAGCTGTACTGTGGCCACATGGGAGTGGAGCACCCGGAGAACTGGAATTTCTACATGGCCTTTGCCTTTTTCCGGCTGGCTGTGATGCTGCAGGGACACCCCCACGGCTCTCTGGCAGGTGAGGGGCACAGCCACCAGCTCTGCTCTGCACAGGCCTCAGCCAGAGCACACACAGGAGCACAGGGGTGGGGAGAGCTCTCCCACTCAGCCAGGGAGCTCAGCCCAGCAGTGTGTGCCACAGGGTTGGGGCACTCCAGGCTGTGAATCCTGAGGGCTCCCAATTCCAGGTGCTGCAGCAAAGCATGGCATGGCTGGGAGTCTTGTGCTTTCAGCACAGAGCTCTTTTGGGAACGAGGGCTCAAAACGAGAGAGCTTGTTTCACCTCTGTGTTTGGAGGTGAGTGACCTGGAAGCAACTATCCAGGGGTGTGAGTAGCCAGAGGGATGGGAATAGTGTCCTGCAAAGCACAGAGCTGCCTCTCTGCTCCAGCACAGGTCTGTTCCTGTTTGCTGTCTGTGCTGATCAGAGTTGCTATGGGGTCTCCTCTTTCATGGGAGAACTGAGCAGAGGCCAAAGTTGTGAGCCCAGAGCTGTGTCCTACAGGTGGAGCTCTCAGACCTTCAAACTAAGCACCAGCCTTCTCCAGGGGGCTCAGGAACAGGGACGTGGTGTGAACTCTCAGTGTTTATCTGCACACATCAGGTCTGGCCTCTTTGTCAGAGACAAGCAAGATGTTATTTTCACATCCCTCAGAGAGGAGTCTCCCCGAGTCCTGCTGGGCTGGCCCAGACCAGGGCACATTACCTCAGCCTTTCCCACAGGGCAAAGCAGTAAGGCTTCTCCAGGCAGGAGAAGGGAATGAACAAAACAATTCCTCCCTGGCCTGGCAGGTGCCAAAAAGCCCAAGCCCAGCCAAGCTCTGGGCACACCATCAGCACTGAAGGCAGGACCTTAGTGGAGCAGCACCAGCGATTCCAGCTGGGCTGGCATTAGTTTGGGATGTGGCTACATAACATGAGCTCTTTCAAACAAGTGTCCTTTCTCTTCTCCCCAGGGAGACCAGCCCCAGGTGACAGCAGCTCAGAGGATGCAGAGTTTGTGGCTGAGCTGGCTTGGGAGTTTGCCATAAAGGAAGGATTCAGAGTGTTTGACAGCCTTCCCAGCAGAAAGCTGCTTGCATGACATTCCAGCACCTGGGCTGGCCCAGGGCCATTCCTCAGCAGGAGCTACAGCACCTGGCCACGTCCTGGGGCCACAGTCCCCTAGTGACCCCCCCAGCAGCCTGTTGGGGATGGCCCAGGGTAATATGGGCATCCATTGGGGCTGTCTGAGTTCCCATCCCAGATGGATTCCACATCCTCTGACAGAACTGCAGGTGAGCATTTTCCTCCCTGAAGCTGCTTTGCTGCACCTGCCCCAGAGTGGGGACTGTGGTCTCTGACTGCCCTTGCTCTCCTGACCACGTCAGACATTTGGCACTCATAGAGTCCAGTGGTTTGGCGTGAGGGGGCTGGCACAGGAGAGGCCATGCTAGAGGCACCCTGTGAGCTTCTCAATTCCAGTGGTATTTGCTGTTATCTGCCCTGAGTGCCTTTATTGCCCAGATCAATTCAGGGCAAAATCCATCCTTGGACCAAGAGGCTGTGGGAAGTCAGTACCAGCCTTGCAGGAGGGAAGGAATGACCTGGCTGGAGGTACAAGGTTTGGGAATAAAGAGAATGAAGATGATGTCTCTTCTTCTCCAGAACCTGCAGACACTAGAACAGTCCTTGGTGGTAGAGGGAACTGAATGAGGTCCTTGAGGACTCTGGATTTAGGGGACACTCCAGAGCTGAGACAGTGCCAGGTCCCTGGAGCTGGGAGGAACTGGGAGGACTCCATGGTCCTGTGACTGCTGTGGATCTCTCTGGGGACCACAGAGGATACAGACTGATCAGCGGGGGCTTTCTGTGCTTCACAGAGACCAGCAGCAAGGGGAGAGCAGTGGGAACAATCATGGTAATTCCAGGCTCTTTGTGTGTGACTAATTCAATATGAAAGCGTTGGGCACACTTTGAATTCTCCTCCAGCTCACAGCCCACATCCACCTGCCCAGGGTGGCCACCACATCCCAGCTATCAGGGGCACACGGGGTGCTTTGGAGGAGCCCTGGGACAGCCAATCTGGCTGCTCAACACCAGGACCACGGGCTGTAGGGAATCTGGTAACCTGAGCTTTGGATTCTCCCAGGCTCCAGGGTGAAATTCCACCTCAACCTCAGGCACTTGGCTCTGCTGTGGAAAGGGGAGGGAGTCCATATCTGAGCCTGTATCTGCCCTGCACAGACACTTGGGATGCATTCCTAGCAGGCACCTGACTTCTGTGCCTCCCACCATCTCAGGTTTCAGGCAGGCTCAATCCCAGCCAGGGACTGCAGGGCTGAAAGCTCCAAGGGCCATGAAGGTGTTTCCTTCCATGCATGTGGTTTTACTGCTGCTGAATCTGTCAGCCAAGCCCCAGGGAAGGGAAGGGCCTGCTCAAGATAAGCAAAAGCATTGACACAGTGCTAGTGCTTAGTGTTATCTGTTGTCCATCCTGGGGTCAGCAGAAGACACATCAGGACACACATGAGAGCTTAGCCCCAGGCTCAGCTCTGTGACATGCCCTGTGGATACACAGCCTGCCCTGCTCCCTCTGGGAGACATCTCTGCAGGTAAAACTGGTCTTTCTGGCATCTCCCACAAGTGGATTAACACATGCAGGTCTGTAACAGGAGGGAGAACACGTTGGAACAAGTGATCCTTGTGAGTGTCACCTCCTAAAGGGCTGCCCAGGACACACTGCCTGGAGCAGTGCAGGGAATGTCACCCTTCAAGGGATGCAGGGGGCCAAGGATGAGGGAGGCTGAGATGCAGCACAAGAGGATTTCTTTTCGACTAATCCAGGATACACACAGCCTAATCTGAGTCCTGCAGGATAACCTTGGGTGGTTATTTTGCCTCTCTGGGCTGTGGTTCCTCCCTGCATAACAGAGAGAAATGTCTGGAGGGCTGCAGGTGCAGGAACTACCACCAAGACATTCATCAGCCTGGGTCTTCAGACACTGGGTGAAACTATTCCTCAACTGACATATTCCACGTTTTTTCCTGTCCCCTGTATTAAACCAGAGCCACCCACCCTGTGACCCTCACTGAAGAAGCCTAAGAGGTGCAGTCAGACCCAGGGTGATACCACAGGTTTCTTTCAGAGGTTTAAAACTCTTCATGCCTTTGGTCTGTGGCTTCCTTAGTGACGGTGATGATAAACTTGAGCACACCTTTGTTCCCTGCACATGAACCTGCACTTGGGCACACTCAAGTTTGCACAAGACATCTTAAGCAAACAAGAAAAAAAGCCTTTCGTCACTGTTGGAAGCAATTTTACAAAGGCCTCTGATTTGCATGCACTGAGCAGTTCTCCTGTTGTGCAAGCACTTTGCTGGCTTTGCTCCATGGCCACCACACACAGAGCTTCTCTTTTGGACTCCTGTGCGCAGCTAATGGTGCCACAGAACTGGGGACTGGGGCTGCTCATCACACCTTCCCTCCAGACTAACCAGCACGAGGGAGATGTTTCTCGTGGGTTTCCTCTGCCTTTCTCCGGATTCTTGCCTGCAGGGAGTTCTCTGAGCATGGAGAAAGGACGAGGAAAGGGACAGGCCCAGGGGCAGTGCCAACACCAGCGAGTGCACCAGCCCAACCCGTGCCAATGTGAGCT